TAAAGGTCCCTTCCAACCCAGACAGTTCTATGATTCTGTGGTTGCCAGAGAATAGCAACACCTCCAAAGTCCCCCAGCATGGGCTGTGCCCCCCAGGGGCGGGGGGCTGTATCCCTGTGTCCGAAAGCAGCACCTGCAAACCCCGCTGTACCCCTTGCACCGGAGCCGGCCTCAAGGCTGCTCGGATTCAGCTCTTCTGGCAACAGCATCCTCCACCGCTGCCTGCACCCCACTTTCACTCCCCACAGCTCAAAACCCTGTCCCTGTTATTTCAAGGGAAACAAATGGCAGTCCCAGGTCACCCCCAGCACCAAGAGGCACCAGAACCACTTCCTGGTAAAAAGATTTATTAAGAACCTGTAGTACTTGCCCGAAAGGAGGATGCCGCCCTGGCACGGGCGCTGCGCGGCGGCGGGGAGCAGGGTGAACGGTTTAGCACTTCTCCAGGCAAAACAAACCCGGGTCGGACCCAGCAGCAGGATAAAACAGACCGAGTCGAGCGTACAGAAAGGTGGTGGGAGCACATCTGTGCAGCAGATGACCTCCCGCCAGAGCAGCCCAGCAGTAGTTAAGGCGTATAAAGTGCTTGGAGAAAGACCAGCCCTACGGTGGGGCTAAATAATGCGACAGCGAGGGAGCGAGGGGTGCAGGTCAGTGGTGGGTCACCCGCACCTCTGCCCTGGGGGGACCTGGCATAGGAGGCACCATGCCCACCCCCACCTCGGCCCCCAGCAATCACCAGGAGGTGGGCTGCAGTGCCCCCAAACAGGACCAAGGCTGCTGGTCTTCGTGGTCATCTCCCAGTCCATCCCACGTTCGGGATGCTGCTCCACACACTGGGGGTGCCTCTGCCGATGCATGGGAAGGATGGTCCCAGTGCAGCATCCTGCCTCGTCTCAATCCTGGTGGCAAAATGAGATGAGTGGAGCGAGACTTGTCCTCGGCCAGGCTGTGCCCCAGCTGCCCGTCACAGCCGTCTGTCCCTCCCGGAGCGAGTGCAACCGATGTCCGGCCACCTCTCCTGCTGCTGGGAGCAGCACCAGCCGCTTGGTCCCTTGTGAGACGGAACGTCCCTTGGGAGTTTGGGCGGTTTCAGTCCTGTTGTACTTGTGATGTTCGTCACAGGAGGGACACGGGGAGGTGTTCTCACCGGTGCCTTGTGTAGCCAAGCTGGTCCCACGTGCAGGACAGGGATGCTCCAAAGGCAGACCCAGAGCTGTCACAGGTGGGACAGTGCTCCTGGGGCGGCTTTGGGCACATTTCTGCAAAAAAATCAGCCCTGTGCTCCTGCCAGAGGTGGTGGGGGCAAGCAGGGACACCCTCCACAGCTAATCCTGCAGCCCTCCAGCCTGCCCCAGCGCTCCCAAACGGTCCCTCCTCCCCATGGACTGCTCCAAGAATACTGCTTTTCCCTGGAATGTTTTTGTCTAAAATTCCCAGGATGGGATTAAGGGGAAAAAAAAAAAAAGAGAAACTAGGTAAAAAATAACTACTCTTGAGTTATGCTGAAAGGCTTGGGTTAGCTCCACGGCCACCCTGTCCAGGGAAGGAGACACCCTGGTGATGGGGTTGGGGACAGCGGGACAGCTGGAGGGGCTTTTCTGTGTGTAGCAGGGGAGGGGGGCAACGAGCCGGGGTATGGGGGGCTGCCTCCTCCTGGCAGCGGGAGGGATGAGATGAGGTGCAACTGGATGGGATGGGACAAGGGGACCAAGGTGGCAAGGAGAGGAGGGACAGCCCCACCCCTCACTGGGACTGCAGGGAGAAGGCCAGCTTGACACAGGCGAGCTCCTGCCCACCGCTGCTGACGGCCGCCCGGACACGGTAGTTGCCGTTGGTCATCCAGGCAGGCAGCTCCACATCGGGAAGGTCAAAGTCGCTGGCGGGCAGAGAGTAGGAGCCCTGTGGAGAGAGGGGAGATGTAGGCAAGACGACAGCCGAACCCCCCAGCCCCACACCGAAGGGCACGGTGGTACCCGGCGGTGCTGCCGGCATCACACCAGCCGGGGGTTTCAGGCATACCGCTTTGAAGGGGCAGTGGCAGGGGATGCCGTAGGTGAGCAGGGGCTCCGGGCAGGTCGTGCCGGGCGGGATGAGGTTGTCGAGGATGGTGCAGACATCGTTGTAGGTGCAGCTGCCCAGCTGGTCGATGCAGGGCAGCTGGATCCAGAGGTCGCCCAGTGCCTTCTCCACCACCAGCACGGCCTGGAGGGAAGGTGTTCGGTACCACGGCCAGCATGGGCACACGTGGCTTCTCCAACCTGTCCCACCCCAGCCATCTCCGTCGGCTCCTGCTCGTGCAATTCTTTGGGATGTTCACGGGACCACTGCACGCCCTTCGCAGTTCCCCCTCCTGCTTTCGGTTCCTCTCTGCCTGCAGGTTTCTCTTCCTCCAACCTCAGCTTGACCCCTTGAACAAACACCTCCCAGCATCCCACGCACCCGCTCTTTCCCCTCTCCTCGGTGTCCTGTCCCAAAACTGCCCAGCAGCTCCCATCCTGCAGCTCTGCCGCCATGCTCCCCCCGGCACGCTCCCCGCAGCCCCAGACAGGCACCGGGGCATTGCTGGAGACAGCCCATGCACCTTGGGCAGATAGACGTGCTCAGTCTCATTCCAAAAAGTCCCCAAAAGTGGTGCAGGACAGCCAGGCTGGCCCAGGGATCCCACAGCGGTGCTGTGGCTTGTACCTGGAGGGAAGAGCCGGTCTGGCTGCACCGACGGCCGGGAGCACCCAGGGCACTTGGGGTTTCATTTCCCTCCCTGAGTCATTACATCCCCAGGACACAACACAGCTCAAGTCGTTTCTCACACTGGAACAAGGTTGGGAGCTTTCCACTGGGCTATCTGCTCCCACCGCCAGTGTCCCTGTGCCCATCACCCCATTCCGGCTTACAGAGCCCGGTGCGCTCAGCCCCGCACCGCTCTGTGCCTCATTCCCCCAAGGGCTGCTCGTTCCCAAGCCCACTGCTGGGCATTTCCCAGTTGCCAGTGGTTCTGGGAAGCTCTGCCCTCTCTCATCCTGTGGAGGCATCTCCGGCATGTACCTTCAGAGGGGAGGCCATGGTCTTGCTGCTGCTGGCGGCCGCGCTGACGCGCAGGCTCCCCGGGATGCTGATGGGGTCGGGTGCCACGGAGAGGCTCCGCAGCACCACAGGGTCCTTTCCATCACCGCAGTTCTCCCAGGCAAAGCCACCAACCTGTGGCACCGAGGGACAGGAGGAGTTAAAGCCCGGGCAAGCCTTGCCCTGGGTTTGCAGGATGTTTCCCCAGCACCGGACCTCCAAACCCCCTTCCAAACCCCCTTGCACACACATCTGCTCACAAACACAGCCAGAAAATGACCTTCAGCACCCCCTCAAATCATAGAATCATAGAATCATAGAATGGTTTAGGTTGGAAAGAACCTTGAAGATCATCGAGTTCCACCCCCCTGCCATGGGCAGGGACACCTCCCACTAGACCAGGTTGCCCAAGGCCACCTCCAGCCTGGCCTTGAACACCTCCAGGGATGGGGCCTCAACAACCTCTCTGGGCAACCTGGACCAGTGCCTCACCACCCTTAAAGTGAAAAACTTCTTCCTAATGTTTAATCTAACCCTGCCCTCTTCCAGTTTATAGCCATTCCCCCTCGTCCTGTCACTACATGCCCTGGTAAAAAGTCCCTCCCCAGCTCTCCTGTAGCCCCTTTAGGGACTGGAAGGCGGCAATAAGATCTCCCCGGAGCCTTCTCTTCTCCAGGCTGAACAGCCCCAACTCTCTCAGCCTCTCCTCATAGGAGAGGTGCTCCAGCCCTCGGATCATCCTCGTGGCTCTCCTCTGGACACGATCCAGCAGGTCCATGTCCTTCTTATGTTGAGGACTCCAGAGCTGGACGCAGTACTCCAGGTGGGGTCTCATGAGAGTGGAGTAGAGGGGCAGAATCACCTCCCTTGACCTGCTGGCCACACTTCTTTTGATGCAGCCCAGGATACGGTTGGCATTCTGGGCTGAATATGCCAAATAAGTATTTCCCTCTGCATTTCTTGCACTCCCAGCTCTCTGAGCCTGAAGGCATTGCAGAAACTCTCCATCCAAAAGCAATTGCCACAACTGCCTTTCGTGTACTTCTCACCCAAAGAAGGTTCCCAGGCTGTGATTGCCAAACCGGCCTGGGCTCAGCCTCCGAACGCTTTGCATGCGAGCAAGGCGAGAAGCATCCTTCAAACCGCACCAACAGCACCCAGCAAGGTGTTTGAGAACGAAGACAAGAGAGCAGGCGGGAAACGGGGCAGGGTGATGGTGGCTGTGCTGCTGGGGGATGCTGTGCCCTGAAGGGTTGTGGGACCAGCACAGCCTCCCGGCTTCGCCAGGACCAGCCCGGCTGTTGCATGCCCTCATCCGCCGGCTCCGGCTACCTGGTCCTGCACAGGAGCAGGAATCGCACGCACACATCGCCATAAACATGGCTTGACATTTCCATCTCTGCTCGTGCTCCCGGGGGCAGATGAGCCGGGCTCACCCCCTGCCTGATACCCCAGGGGCCTGATCCTGAGCTGGCTCACTCCAAGTGAGCCCGGGAATGCACTGGTGGAGTTCGCAGTCCTGAGGGATATGGGTCAGGGGAAGAGTAAAGTCAGGACCCTGAATTTTAGGAAAGCAAACTTCCAGCTCTTCAAGGAGTTAGTCAATAGGACCTTACGGGATGGTAAGGTCCCTCAGGGATGAGGGAGCAGAACAGAGCTGGCAGATCTTTAAGGACACTTTCCATACAGCACGAGAGCTCTCAATGCCCCGGTGTAAGAAATCAGGGCAAGAAAGGAGGGCAAGTGATCGGCATGGCCTTATGGTGGCCTTTCAGTACTTAAAGGGGGCCTACAGGAAAGATGGGGACAAACTTTTTAGCAGGGCCTGTTGTGATAGGACTACTGGTGATGGTTTTAAACTAAAAGAGGGCAGATTTAGACTAGATAGAAGGAAGAAATTTTTTACAATGAAGGTGGTGAAACCCTGGCCCAGGTTGCCCAGAGAGATGGTAGATGCCTCATCCCTGGAAACGTTCCAGGTCAGGTTGGACGGGGCTCTGAGCAACCTGACCAAGTTGATGATGTCCCTGCTCACGGCAGGGGGGTTGGACTAGATGACCTTTAGAGGCCCCTTCCAACCCAAACTATTCTGATTCTATGATAATGAAAATCCACATGCAGGATATGTCACCCAGATGGGGGAACATTGCTGGTGTGTCCTGGCAGGGCTAGGAGCCGTGGTGGGAGATCTCTCCTGTTTCCTTCAAGTCCCACCAGCCTCCCCGGCCACTGCCACCCAAGCCACAGGCTGGGA